TCGTCGTCGAGCTCGGCCATCTTGTCCTCCAGGTCTGTGCCGCGCCAGTCGCTCCGGTCCAGGACTCGCTGCGCCGTCTTGCGGTCCTCTTCGGTGGCATCTCGGAGTCCGCCGGCATCGATCGCGATGGCCGACAGGATGAGCTCGAGAAGCTCGTGGGGCATGTGGTACTCTTCCGGCAGGGCCTCGAGCTCGTCGAGCATCTGGCGCGCGACAATGGTCGTGCAGCTCGCCACCTTTTCGAAGATGCGCGGCTCCGCATGAGGCCCGGCGCCGTTGTCCTTGTGGTGGTCAAAGATGCTCAGGAGCTTGGCATCGTGCCACTTCCTCAGCGGGACAGGGTGGTCCACAATCACAATGCCTTTGATGTCGTTTGCCAGCGTCTCCGGATCCTCAGGAAGCTCTTCGATGGTGAGCAGGTCCGAGTGGCCTGAGCTCATCTGGGAGTTGTCGAGGGCGATCTTGTTCTCGGGTCGCAGATCGAGGGCATCGGTCGGGGTCTGCAGCAGAGCAATGGCCTTGATCGGGTTCGACGTGTTGAAAGTCGAGTGCTGTAGGTGATACGCCCAGGTGAGGGCGGCAGTCATGGAGTCGAGATCGCCGCCTTCGTTGCCCTGGACAATTGTCCACTCTGAGGACCGCCCTGCTTGCCAATCGATGAGGAAGCGCCTCTTCGTCTCGCGCGACCATTTGCTGAAGTGTCCGACGCCGGTCTCTCGAGGTCCTTGTGCGGTCTGCGTCGAGTCGGGCTCGGCCATGACGTGCTGTTGCGACAAGTCTTCGAGCGGCTTGGCCTCGGCGAACAGACAGGCGCCTAGCGAAGCCCCGAGGAGGCACATCTGCGAGAGATGCATGGTGAATGATTGGATCTGCGCGAGGACAAACAGCCAGCGCCAGGTTCCGAAATTGAATGAAGGTGAGGTGTTGGGTGGTAGATGGGTGGAAGGACGGCAGCTGAGAACACGAAGTGCCCCAGTAATGAACGGGGTTGGACGCGCTTGCTTAATAAATGACGTGAGAGCTCAAGCTTAAATAGTGGAGCATTCGTTTCGGCATCCTGTGTCTTGGCGGTCATACATATAACTCTCGCAGTCCCCTCACAGCATCTCCGGCCATTGATAGGTGTGAGGATTATTCACCTACTGTAGAAGCCTACGTACGTATGCATGAGTACCTACTCAAAATGCCGCTTTAAGACAAAGTCCTCCTCGCAAAGACCGCGCAACTCCACGTTCAGGTGACACAAGATAACCGGCCTGGGCCGCTTCCTCTCCTGTACCAAAGTCCTGGTATTTGTCGAGACCTCCCGGGGAAGCGGCGGACATCAATCATACAAGGCGCGCTTGTCTGTGAACCCTATCGCAGGGCAAGTGTGCTTCTCAGGCAACGCCTCTCATCTTCTTGAGTTTTCTTGGAGGGTCTGGCGGGCCTACGCTCGGCGATCTGTCCTTCTTGAACATGCCGCTGAATCGACTCTCCCGAGGTGCTAATGGCGGGATTGGTAGCTGCTGGGACGATGAAGGGTAGTCGGGCTCAGAGGGCTCGTATGTCTCTTGTATCTGGTCCAGCGGAGGCATGGCCCCTTCCGGGTGGTGGAAACGCTGGTTCCCCGCCTCGTAACGGCCCCGTTCGAGGACGTCCTCGTTCTTCTGGACCGCTACGCTGTCGGGCTCATGGAACCGTTTGTCGATGGAGGAGTTGAACGTCCCGCGCAGGAGATCACCGGCACCCTGATAACAACGTATTATTCATCGTGGTCAAAACACAATTAGGGGAGAGGGGGTGGGGGGGGAGGCATAGGCGTACATGTACTCCGGCCGCAGCCCGCTTCAGGTTGTCGAAAGTCTTTACTGACCCTAGACCCTTTGGTGTACTGTTGCTGCCGAGCCGTGCGTTATTTCCCTGCGCCTCGTGCGGCAATGGTTGGTTTGACGGATGTGCATAGTGCTGCGGTCCTTGGTCCGACGGACTGAAGCCTTCTTGGGGCTGCATGGCGGTTGCGAGAGGCCTCGTCTGATTGGGCATACCCTCGAGAGACCGTCTGGCATTCCGTTCCGGTATCACGGGAGGTGGGTTCCTTGCCTCCACCGGGGTCATGGGCGAGGTCGGCTCTTGGGGCGGAACAAGGCCCGCTCCGGAAGCTCCTGGCATCTGTTCGTCCTGTTCTACCTGGGTAGGGGGCTCAATGCCCGTCGGCAGCTCGGTGGCTTTATCATGCGGCCGTTCGATTATGGTTTTCTCCTACACTTAGCGAACAGTCCGGGGTCATAGGAGAAGATAGGTATGGAAGGGATCACGATGTACGTACAGCGCCGTCCTGGCCAGTGATTGTCGTCGTCGTCGTCGTCGTTGTCGTCGTCGTCGTGATGGTCTGCCCCGTATTGGGGTTGCTGTGGGTTTCCCTCTTGATGGTAGGCGATGTGTACGACGTCGGGCCCCTGAGTGCTTCTTCCGTTGGGTTGGACATTGATGTTGGATTGCTTGAAGGTTCACTGCGGGACAGACCGTTGGTGCTCTTCGAGATGTCCGACGGCGATTGTGTGCCCAGAGTTGTGTCGGGCTTGCTGCTGTTCTCTGAAGAGGATCCGGCAAGCTGGCTGTCCAAACTCGAATTTGGGATCGGTTGTTCTGTGGTTTTGGCTTGGCTTCTTCCGCCCAATATGTCCATCAATCGAGATCGCCTGCCTTTGGGATCCGCTGTCGACATTGCGAACGAGATGGATCACACACTCAACACTGCTGGTATGTTCGTCCGTTGAATGGGAGTTGTTGCATCTCTGACAATGGCACCGCAAGCCATGTACAGATGGAACCTGCTTGGCTGGGCATGATCCTTGATGAGGTCATCTCCCCCAGTGCACCACTTGGCTTCGCAGGCGTTGGAGGCCACGACAGATGACGTCGCATGGCTGATCGTCATACCCCGACAAGGCTACTAGCTTTATGCACAGCACCTGTATTCCACGGCATTCGCGTGCCGACATCTCACTCTTTGTCGAGAAGGATTGGTCGTGAGCCCGTGATCTATGGGAGTGAAATACGCACTCCCCTAGGCAAGGATCACGTCTTGGCAAGAAGCCTCACCCTGTCCCTTGGAGGCTCTAAATTGAGCCTCCGCCTGCTTGTATCTATCCGTCAGATCTCCTGCGACAGGAACATCGAGCGGTTGTGTGCCGAGGCCAGAATGGCGTTTTAGGATGTGGAAGTGGTTTTCTACGCGTTGGACGCCATAACGGACTGAGCGTTGTGGTCTGATGTAACAAAAAATGAACCCATCTCAGATGTAGACTTGCTTGTATTATGAAATAAAGGTGTAACGACAAAGTAGAACTGCGTTGGAAACGTTACTGCTCATCCTAATGACCTTTCGTGTGATGGAATG